TCCCTTTCATCACTTTAAATATGCCTGCCACTCCCTTCTGGCTCGCAGAGTTTCTGCTGAAAGATCAGCTGTTAACCTTATGGGTTATTTATGGGTATGTTATTTGTTACTTTTGCCTTGCAGCTTTTAATATGTTTTCTTTGTATTTAATTTTTGATAGTTTGATTAATATGTGTCTTGGTGTGTTTCTCCTTGGAGTTATCCTGTATGGGACTTTCTGTGCTTCCTGGACTTGATTGACTATTTCCTTTTCCATATTAGGGAAGTTTTCAACTATAATCCCTTCAAATATTTTCTCAGTCCCTTTCTTTTTCTCTTCTTCTTCTGGGACCCCTATAATTCAAACGTTGGTGCGTTTAATGTTGTCCCAGAGGTCTCTGAGACTGTCCTCAATTCTTTTCATTCTTTTCTCTTTATTCTACTGTGTGGCAGTTATTTCCACTATTTTGTCTTCCAGGTCACTTATCCGTTCTTCTGCCTCAGTTATTCTGCTATTGATTCCTTCTAGAGAATTTTTAATTTCATTTATTGTGTTTTTCAGCATTGTTTGTTTGCTCTTTAGTTCTTCTAGGTCCTTGTTAAACCTTTCTTGTATTTGTCCATTCTATTTCCAAGATTTTGGGTCACCTTTACTATCATTACTCTGAATTCTTTTTCAGGTAGACTGTCTATTTCCTCTTCATTTGTTTGGTCTGGTGGGTTTTTACCTTGCTCCTTCATCTGCTGTGTGTGTCTCTGTTTTCTCATTTTGTTTAACTTACTGTGTTTGGGGTCTCTTTTTCACAGGCTGCAGGTTCGTAGTTCCCATTGTTTTTGGTGTCTGCCCTCAGTGGGTAAGGTTGGTTCAGTGGCTTGTGTAGGCTTCCTTGTGGAGGGGACTGGTGCCTGTGTTCTGGTGGATGAGGCTGGATCTTGTCTTTCTGGTGGGCAGGACCGCATCTGGTAGTGTGTTTTGGGGTGTCTGTGAACTTAGTATGATTTTAGGCAGCCTCTCTGCTAATGGGTGGTGGTGTGTTTCTGTCTTGCTCGTTGTTTGGGCATCCAGCACTGGAGCTTGCTGGCCGTTGGGTGGAGCTGGGTCTTAGCATTGAGATAGAGATCTTTGGGAAGCTCTTGCCGATTGATATTACATGGGGCCAGGAGGTCTCTGGTGGTCCAATGTCCTGAATTCAGCTCTCCCACCTTAGAGGCTCAGGCCTGACACCAGGCTGGAGCACCAAGACCCTGTCGTCCACAGAGCTCAGAAGAAAAGGGAGAAAAAAAAAGAAAGAAAAAAAAAAAGATAAATAAATTAAAAGAAATTATTAAAATACAAAAATAATTTTAAAAAAGAGGAGAGCAACCAAACCAATAAACAAATCCACCAGTGATAACAAGTGCTAAAAACTAAACTAAGATAAACATAAAAATCAGAAACAAATCAGTCGCAGACAGCAAACCCAAGTCTACAGTTTCTCCCAAAGTCCACCGCCTCAATTTTGGGACGATTCGTCGTCTATTCAGGTATTCCATAGATGCAGGATACGTCAAGTTGATTGTTGGGATTTAATCTGCTCCTGAGGCTGCATGGAGAGATTTCCCTTTCTCGTCTTTGTTTGCACAGCTCCTGGGGTTCAGCTTTGGTTTTGGCCCCGCGTCTGTGTGTAGGTTGCCCTCAGGCATCTGTTCCCTGCCCGGGCAAGACGGGGTTAAAGCATCAGCCGATTAGGGCACTCTTGCTCTCTCAGGCCAGGGGGAGGGAGGGGTAGGGTAGTAATAATTGGAATGCGGGTTGAGCCTGTGGTGGCAGAGGCTAGCATTACGTTGCAACAGCCTGAGGCACGCCGTGTGTTCTCCCAGGGAAGTTGTCCCTGGATCACGGGACCCTGGCAGTGGCGGGCTGCACAGGCTCCCACGTGGTGGCGGGGGGGGAGGTGTGGATAGTGACCTGTGCTTGCACACGGGCTTCTTGGTGGCAGCAGCAGCAGCGTTAGCATTTCATGCCCATCTCTGGGGTCTGAGCTGATCAGCAGCAGCGTTAGCATTTCATGCCCATCTATGGGGTCTGAGCTGATAGACGCGGCTTGCGCCTGTCTCTGGAGCTCGCTTAGGCAGTGCTCTGCCTTTTGTGGGCACATGGGGAAGGAATCCCCTCTCATCACGCACCCTGAAACAATGGTCTCTTGCCTCTTAGGCAGGTCCAGACTTTTTCCTGGACTCCCTCCCGGCTAGCTGTGGTGCACTAGCCCCCTTCAGGCTGTGTTCACCAACCCCAGTCCTCTCCCTGGGATCCGACTGAAGCCCGAGCCTCAGCTCTCAGCCCCCGCCCATCCCATCCGGGGAGCAGGCAAGCCTCTCAGGCTGGTGAGTGCCGGTCGGCACCGATCCTGTCTGTGCGGGAATCTCTCTGCTTTGCCCTCTGCACGCCTGTTGCTGCGCTCTCCTCCGTGGCTCCGATGCTTTCCCCCAACCCCCTGTCTCCACCAGTGAAGGGGCTTCCTAGTGTGTGGAAACTTTTCCTCCTTCACAGCTCCCTCCCAGAGGTGCAGGTCCCGTCTCTATTCTTTTGTCTCTGTTTTTTCTTTTTTCTTTTGCCCTACCCAGGTATGTGGGGATTTTCTTGCCTTTTGGGAAGTCTGAGGTCTTCTGCCAGCGTTCAGTTGGTGTTCTGTAGGAGTTGTTCCACATGTAGATGTATTTTTGATGTATTTTTGGGGAGGAAGGTGATCTCCACGTCTTACTCCTCCGCCATCTTGAAGGTCTCTTCATACCAGACTCTTAAGTCCCTCAAGGGAAGTTGGAACAGTCTGCCTACATTTGAATCCACCATTTCCTAGCTCCAAGACTCGGCAAGCCACTTAAACTCGGTTTCCTTATCTGTAAAATGGAGATAATCATTTCTGCCTGGTTTTGATAGTTAAAATTTGTAAAACATTTAAACAATGCCTGGGACATAAGTGTTCAATAAATATGTTATATTAGTAATTTAAAAATAATAACAATAATCATTATTACAATTACCATTAATTATCTCTTTATTCTCAATGCCTAGCACGAAGTGCAGTATACAGTAGGCACTCAGTCAATCAAATGGAACTGTGGTTAATGCATTACCTGTGATTAATCCAGAACTCTGCTGTCCTGTACAATAGCCACCAGCTCTGTGTGGCTTCTGAGCACTTAAAATGTGTCTAGTCCAGATTAAGATGCTCTGTAAGTATAAAATACATACCAGAAGTTGAAGCCTTGGTATAGAAAACAGAAAGTAAAATATCTCATAAATTATATTTTATACTGATTACATGTTGAAATTATATTATTTTGTATCTTTTAGGTTAAGTAAGATATACTCTTAAAAATAATCCTGCCACTTTATTTTCACTTTTTAAAACAAGATTGCAATAGAACTACCATATAATCCAACAATTCCACTTCTGGGTATTTACCCTAAGAAAACAAAAACATTAATTCAGAAAGATATGGGAGGGACTTCCCTGGTGGTAGAGTGGTTAAGAATCCACCTTCCAATGCAGGGGATGCGGTTTCGATCCCTGGTCGGGAAGCTAAGAACCCACGTGCTGTAGTGCAACTAAGCCCGCACACCACAACTACAGAGCCCATGCGCCCTGGAGCCTGCGCACCACAGTTAGAGAGCCCGCGCACCGCAATGAAAGATCCCGCGGGCCGCAACTAAGCCCTGACACAGCCAATAATAAAATAAATAAATATTTTTTTAAAAAAGATATGGGAATTCCCTGGCAGTCCAGTGGTTAGGGCTCCACGCTTTCACTGCCGAGGGCTGGGGGTTCCATCCCTGGTTGGGGAACTGTGTTCACTGCAGCATTATTTACAATGGCCAAGATATGGAAGCAGCTGAAGTGTCCATTAATAGATTAATGAATAAAGATGTGGAATATATATCTCTTCTGTCTCTGTGTCACATTTTGGTAATTCTTGCAATATTTCAAACTTTTTCATTATTATTTGTTATGGTGATCTGTGATCAGTGATCTTTTGACATTATTATTGTAATTGTTTTTTTGTTTTGTATTTTTTAATTAAGGGATGTACATTGGTATTTTTAGACATAATGTTGCACACTTAATAGACTACAATATAGTGTAAACATAGCTTTTATATGCACTGGGGAACCAAAAAATTTGTGCCACTCGCTTTATTTCAATATTTCCTTTATTGCAGTGGTTTAGAACTGAACCTGAAATATCTCCAAGGTATGCCAATATTACTCAGCCATAAAAAAAGAATGAAATCTTGCCATTTGTGACAACATGGAAGGATCTAGAGGGTATTAGGCTAAGTGAAATAAGTCAGACAAAAAAGACAAATACGGTATGATTTCACTTATATGTGGAATCTAAAAAAACAAATGAACAAACAAAACAGAAGCAGACTCACAGATACAGAGAACAAACTGGCATTTGCAGAGGGGAGGTGAGGGGGGGGATGGGCAAAATATGTGATGGGGATTAAGAAGTACAAACTTCCGGTTATAAAATAAATTAGTCACGGGGATGTACTATACAGCATAAAGAGTATAGTCAGTAATACTGTAATAATTTTGTATGGCGACAGATGGTTTCTAGGCGTATTATGGTGATCATTTCATAATGTATTTAAATGTCAAATCACTATGTTGTACACGTGAAACTAACATAATATTGCATGTCAATTATACTTCAATAAATGAATATTTAAAAAAATAATAAGATGAGACTGCAAGGAAATTTAAAATTTCACATGTGATTTCATTATGTTTCTATTGGACAGCACAGATCTAGAAAGCTCTCAGCCTACCATTAGTGTAGCAAACCTTCATCCAACCTCATTTACTTTCAAATATTATATAAGCTTTAGGAGTATAGATAATTCGTTTAGAACAATGATTCATTTAGAATCAAAAGTACATCCAGGTGGTTTGTAAAGGATTTTCCTTGCAGGGTTACAAGCTAACGTGTAAAAGTATGTAGAAAGAGAATTAAAGCTTTGGGGGAATTTTCCAGGTTCGCTGTGATCCTGAGATTCAAGAATTGCGTCAGTGGCAGAAGAAACTGCGTGAGGACAAGCACATCCGCCAGCGAGTCAAAATTTTCTGGGCCAAGCAAGAGCAGAAAGGTGAGTTGTTTGATTCACAGCCCTTGGTTTATTCAGGAAAAGCCTGAGTCTTACCCCAGGCTCAAGAAGGAAGCCCTCTGAGGTTTTATAAGGTCCCTATATCTGCACGGGACTCCATTGGGGGTAGGGGAGGTGGCAGCATGTTAAGATTCAGCTTTGGAATGACAGTATAATTGACATGGCCATTCCCCTCACTCAGGGACACATTCAGTGTCATCCCACGTCTGCAGGTCTCTTTTTTTAGCTGCAAGACAACAAGAATAACTCATCATTTTGGAGTCACAGTGCCCATCAATGTGATGGGTAGTTTTTCTTCTAAGCTGTTGATTGTGTGTCTGAACTCAAGCGGTGTTTTATGCCATCCGGTCCCCTTTTCTGAAAAATTAAAAACATACACACATTGAAGTATTAAGAATAAGAGAACAAGCACCCATCACCTGTCATGTGCAAGTGTCACAATTTTGTCCTATTTGCTTCCCTTCTTTATTTTTAAACTTTAAGTTACTACATATTTGTGGTAGGAAAATTAGACAAACAAAAAACAAAAGGGGGGTGAAAATCAGAAATCTCACCACTGTTAAAATTTTGGTGCACATCCTGCTATACTTTTTCAGTACAAAAAGATGCAAAAAAAATATATTCATATATTATTAAAAATGGGTTTTTACATTCTGTTACAAGTACCTCTGTATATTCTGTTATATCATCTACCCTGTCACTAAACATACTCAGAACGTCATTCGGTCAGCACTAGAGAGTGGCATCATGACTTTTTTTTTTTGGCTGCCTTGGGTCTTCGTTGCTGTGCGCGGGCTTTCTCTGATTGTGGCGAGTGGGGGCTGCTCTTCATTGCGGTGCATGGGCTCTAGACGCGCGGGCTTCGGTAATTGTGGCACATGGGCGTAGTAGTTGTGGCTTGCAGGCTCTAGAGAACAGGCTCAGTAGTTGTGGCGCATGGGCTTAGTTGCTCTGCGGCATGTGGGATCTTCCCGGACCGGGGCTCGAACCTGTGTCCCCTGCATTGGCAGGTGGGTTCTTAACCACTGCGCCACCAGGGAAGCCCCATCATGACGTTTAATGGCTGTGTGATATGAATTTAGCATCACTTATTTAACCAACAACATGGAATGAGATTCATGGTATATTAACAAGTGGAAAAAAGTTGCAGAACCATAAATTTTCATTCATATTAAAAATATATACAGGGAAACAGAGAGATGTCTAAACAGCCTGGAAGAATACTTTAATGGTAGTTTCCTTTAGGAATTAGGGCTAGGGGAATCTTGCACTGTTGGAATCTTTTAAATAAGTGCAGTACTTTACAATTATGAAAACCAATGGAAAAAAAATGATCATAGCTACCTCGGCAGCGTACAGGCCATCGCACTCTCACCATCCGTGCTCTGACCTCCCCACCCTCCCCGTCCCTGTCCGCCTTCACTAGGCTGCAGCTCCTCCAGTCTCTCTCGTTCTGCCATATGCCAATGCCTTCCTCACCTCTGGGACTCTGCACTTTCTATTCTTTTCCTGCCAAATCATCCTTTCCCAGCTCCTGTATGGCCATTTCTTCTCACCCTCCAGGCCTGGGGACATTACCGCCTCAGAGGGGCCTTCCCAAGTTGCCCTGCCTAAAGGGAAAAGGAAAAATATTGAGCAATCTCAGCGTGGTGGAGTCTAAACAAAAGTTTTCTTTTTTGCCCAGAAACTGTCTTCAACCCTGTTCCCTCGAATCTCTTTCCAGTTCCTGCTCGGCATATTGGTTAGATTTCATGTCTTTTAAGTATGTTCTGATTTCATAAAGTCCAGTCTACTTAAAAATCTCAATCTCAGATCCAATTTAATGCTTACTCACCCGCCTCTGCTCTGCCTCAGTGGGGTTGGGAGTGGGGGAAAGAATTGTCTGATCTTTCACACGTCCACCCTTTCCTCTTCAAAGCCACTTGCTCCTTTGGTGGGTTTGGGTGGGAGGGAGGCAGATCCGAGGGGCATCTTCTCTGCACTTCCTGTTGTGACCCTCTCTTGGCTGCTGCCGCTTCTCTGGCTGAGACTGCGTGGCCACCCATGTCTTGTGGGCAGGCATCCCCTTGCTGGCTCACTGACTCCTGTGTTTCATATGAGCTCTTCCTCAGGGGAGACAACACGTGGCAGAACCCCCTGTAGGGATCTGGCTCTGTCTCTCCCTTTTCTACCACCACCCGGACCCCACCTCTGCCAGTCCACTCCCAGCCTTTTGCTCCTGGGGTCTCCTTACCCAGTGGCCAGCCCTCTCGGGTGGGGCAATGGAAAGATAGTTCAGGTTACCTCCCAGCGTCCACCTGACGCAGAGGAAACCAGCGGTGGACACGCAGGCTTCTCCACTGCCCCACCCCAGCGTGTCCCCAGTTCACACTGAATCTGCTCTAACAGGCACAGTAGAATGAGGTGTACTGTAAATTTGCCCTTAAAGGAGATGACCAACCAGATGATGAAGCGCCCCCATTCTCTTCGAGTTGTTCTCTTGGCTCTTCCCTCCCTTGTCTTAGGGCTTGGGTGGTGGAAGCACCCACTCTTGTCTAAGAGAAGAGAGAAAAGCAAGCACTCTCCTTTAGGACAGATTCTCAATCCTTTTGGACTGTGAACCAGTAAGAAATAGTTTTATGTCACAATTTAGTACATATGAATGCACAGATGGTTTCATATATACCTAGCTAAAACAAAAGTTTTATTTAAAAATTACCTTATATGTAATACCCTTTGGTATTTTCTAGTCTTTTGAGTTTTTAATTTTGTTAATGCTGGACATGACTCAGTAAATTTATTTCATGGCCCACTAATGTGTCTTGGCCCATGGTTTGAAGCACACTGCATTGATTCACTACTCCACAGCTCCTACAGTTTCTTCTCCCCCTTTCCTACCCGTAGTCATCGGCTTAAGTAATGGTTAGGCCCCTTCTTCATAAACAGTTGTTCTCAATATTGGCTGCATATTTGAATCACCTCAGGAGCTTTCTAAAAATACTAATGCTATTGACTGAAAACCTAGAAGCAATGAGCATTCCTAGTGCCCAGATCTTGGTTTCTAAGTACCCCTCATTCTAAATGGAATTAGGTTGGGTTTTTGTTTTGTTTTGTTTTTTTTGAGAAATGGTCAATTCCAGGGCTGGGGCAAGGAAAGTAGAAGAGCTTAGAATGTCTTTTGCCAGAAAATAAAGAAGGCTCAAAAAATTGATGGGAACATGGGAAAAGAATACAGGCTCCAGCTTGAAGGGAGTCTCACTGGGCAAATCTGGGACAATTTAAGCATCAAAATTAACATCAGAATTTAAGCATGAAAATCAACAGTGACTGTAATGAACTCATTGACTAAAAAAAAAAAAATCCAAATGTCCATATGGATACCAAATAAAGAAACAAATAAACAAATAAATGTGAGAGAAGAGGAAGCTTTCCTCCCACATTAGAATGCCAACTAATACATTTAGCAGTATAATGAAATTTAAGTCACCATTTTATAACCATGTTAGTGAATTAATTGGCTCAGGCAACAGTCATCAATAGATGCTAAACCACTGCGTGGACGTTTCATGAGGAACATGATATTCATAGTCTGAAAATATCTCTTCACAAGGCAGAGCCTTTAACACACAGGGGAAAATAGTAACTTTGCATGAGAGAAGCCTGGCAGAGCCGCCTTAACCAAGTGTTGGAGATTAATGTCACCAATAACGGGACAAACTGACATCACATGCCTTCCGGTATGATGTACTGAGGAAGACACTCATCACAGACGCTTATGCACAACTCCTGTAAAAAATGCACAACTTGAATCTAATCGTGAGGAAACATCAGATCCACCCAAATTGAGGAAACACTCCAAAGTAACTGATTTGGACTCTTCAAAAATGCCAGTGTCAAGGAAGCCAAAAAGATTAAAGGAGACCAAAGAGATGTGACAGCTGAATGCTGTGCATGACCTTAGATTGAATCTCGGATGGGGAAAAATGCTATAAAAGACATTATTGAGACAGTTAACAAACTTTGAGTATGGGCTTTATATTAGACAGTGGTATGTAGCACTATTAAGTTTCCTGATTTTGATCAATGTTCTTGGGCTATATCAGAAACCTCTTCATTCTTAAGATGCATGATGAAGGTTTTAGGGATCAAGGGATATGATATGCAGCTTAATCCCCAATGATTCAGAAAAATATAATTTATAAAACACATGCACACATATATATATACACACAGAGAAAAAATGATCAAGTATAAACAATGGTGAATCTGAGGGTTCTTTGGATGACTATTGCAACTTTTCTGTAAATTCAAAATTACAAGATAAAAAAATACCAGTGCCTCATCTCCAGAAATTCCAACTTCATGGGGATGGGCCCTGGGCATCCATGTTACTGTTAAGTTTCCCCAGTTCTAATGGTCAGCCAGAGTTGCGACCCTAAGGAGGTGCTAGATCCCCAGTGGTTTGTGTTCTCTTTAAAATGTAGAGTCCTCTAGGCCCGAGTGTCCTACTGATGCATGATTGTACTTCCGTTATTTGCTGACTTTGCAGTTACATGCCTTCCTCACTAAAGTGTAAGCTCCATGTGGACGAAGCCCTCGTCCTCATGCAGTGCTGGCACAAAGCGTGCACCAAATAAATTTTGGTTAAATGAATAAATGAGGGAATGAATGAATGGATGGAGTTCTGAGGCTTGTATGAGTCCACATACAGACAGAGCCTGGTACAGAGCAGGAGCTCATCAAATTGGCCGTCTTGGTGTCCCTTGTTAAGAAGCAATTTGAGCTGTAACTGTTTGGCAGGCTTGTCTGTGTACAACTGCCGGTTCATTTCACTTAAAATTGGAAGACAATCAGGGCTGTAATCAGTGTAAAGGTCAGGAAAAGTGCAGCATGCCTATTTATTTCTGTTGTTACTTATTTTTTTGAGTTGATTTGCCCTTGGTTTGCTGATTGGTTTGGCTTGCTGTGTAGAAGGGAGCGCAGGCTGGATTTAACTCTGTGAT